CCCAGGTGCTCCCAGGTGTGGTCTCAGGCATGAACAGGTGCTGTGTGACAGGCAGCGCTCACTTGTAGCCACGGCCCACGGACTTGAGGCAGTCCAGGAACTGCGGCACCTCGTAGTTAACCAGCGTCTTCAGTTGCCCGTCGCCCACGCCGTCGCGGTACACGATGATGCGGCTCGGCATGTACTCATTGCATGTATTCCAGGCCCGCAGCGCGGCTGGGACAGAGCCAGACAGCACGTGAGTCCACATGGCCAGATGGGCTCCCACCCAGTCCCTGCATGGGCTTCAGAGTACTCTTGCAGAGCCCGGGGCAGTGCAGGGTGGGGGCTGACCTTGCAGGCAGACTTTGAGCCCGTCCACCAGCTCCTGTCCCCGGTCTTGAAACACACAGCGAGAGAACCAGCTGCCCAAAGAGAAGAGCCAAGGTCAGGAGGCAGCTGCCCCTCTCCCCTGGTCAATGCTTACTCTGCTCTGGCAATTCAGAGCTCCAGCCTCTGCAACAACACCTGCTCATGTCTCTAAACACTCCATGGAACCCCAGACAGCAGTGAAAGGTAAGCAACGGACAGACACCACAGATGGGGTTCTCTGTCCTGAGAAATCAACCCTCTAATCCCACTTTGAGGAGAGAGACCCCAGGCCACACGTGGAGGTCATGCCCCCCGTCCCCTCGAGAAGCCAGTGAACACAGACCTCACTCCTACAAAGCACAAGGCCCTGAGATGTCATACTAGTGACGGGAAATGTCCACACCCTCATGGCCCTGCTCTCAGCAGTTCTCTTTGTTCTGGTAAGAGCCCCGAGAACAACTTCACTAGGTTAAGACACAAGGTACTAGGTGAACCAATGTGGGTTTTCCAAAATAAATCAACAGGAAACCTTGACGCTACGTGTCAGGGCTCAATAAATATCACTAAACAGAGACGTCTAGAGAGGTCACTTAGTGAGATGCACCCTCCCCACAAATACAAACAACAGTGACACCCCTTGAAAGGCAGTGTGGCTGCTGCAGGTTGAGGGCCCACGAGAGCCACTCTGGTGCCTGGCCGCACTCACCGAGTCATCCCCTCATTGATGCTCGCCACGAACCCCGCGATGGACCTGCGCCCGGCCGTGGTGTCGTGGTAGCAGTCGATGCCGACGATCATCACCAGCTTCAGCTTCAGTGGAAACATCCTCATTTCAGACACTAAGCAGCAGGGAACCCATTCTCAACAACAGCACCCGACCCAGCAAGCAGAGAGGACTCACGGGCATGTCCACCCTCCACAGCTCGCCACCCATCTTGCAGTTCATCTGCAGGGCGATCTTCGTGGCGATGGCCATGACTGTCTGCTGCTTGCCCAGGGTCCGTGCCACCACGCACTGACTGGGGGTGGGGCAGTCCGTGCACAGGTACTTTTTAATGGCATCATACTTGTCTTTCCGATTACTCGACAGCAGACAGACAACCTAAAAAGAGACGCCTCATTACAGGGAATTAATAGACTGAAGAAGTACAGGAAGACAACAGGAGACCACACACGGGGCAGACAGGACAGCATTTAGTTTACCCCGTCTCTGCCACACAGCTGGCAAGTCTGGCGATAACCTTTATTTCTATTCATTACCCTCAGATGAGTGACAGATGCTGACAAAGGTGCTGGGTAGACAGCTCAAAGCTGGTACCACTGCACTAGGGAGCCAGTTAAACACACCCGGTGACCAGACAGGAATAACCAAGGGGCAGGGAAGAGGGCAGGACAAGTAAGGGTAACTCACAGAGGACAAATGGAAGAGCTTCTAAAACTGTTTTCAGTTACGCACGGTCCCTGTAAGTGTCCCCCCAGGATCGTGGCTTTTAACCTTTTAAAGCTCTGGTTTGAGAACCTGGTCAAACTAGGACATTTCCAGAATGGTAGCAGCACAGCCCACCTGGCACAGGAGGTGCTGGTCCAGGGCACTGACGCCCAGTTATGAGATGACCAACACTGGGATCTAGGGACAGTGTGGCAACCAGTCACCAACACCATGCATGAGCCTGGAAGCTGCTGCCAGGCCTGCTCCTCAGTGTTTCCAGCACATGTGGCGGGGACCATGCGAGCTGGTGGAGGTGCTGGCTGACCTGCTGTGGGACCACTTCACAGCACACACACTGCACACTTCAAACTTAATGTTTCACTTCACAGCACACACACTGCACACTTCAAACTTAATGTTTCACTTCACAGCACACACTGTACACTTCAAACAACCCATGTTGTATGTCAACTGTATCTCAGTAAAGCTGGAAGATAAACCTGCTTACCCACATTCTGGGCTCCATGTTTAAGTTCTGGAGCCAAATCCAGCTTTAACTCCTCAGGGATTCCCCAATTTACATCCCTGATTCTTACCCCCTTTTCAGTAGCCCCCAGCAAAGTCCCTTTCCCACCCATGAGTCTCCGTCTCATTACCCTGGATAACAGAACAGCAAGCTGCCAGGCCTCAGGGAGGAGATGAAGGGCTAGAGAGGGGGCATTTAGATGAGGCCAGTTTATCCCTCGGGATGTGCTGTTACCATGAGCTCTGCCTGGGCCACCTCACTAATCACACTGTGCCTAGCACTAGTGCTGAGCTGTACTCTTGTGCCCCACGTCCCCCAAATTTCTAGAATTAAAGCCTCTTGAGTCCAAGTGAGTTCAAGGCAGCTTTGTTCTCTGTTCCTTCTCAGCGCATGACAAGCTCCCAGGCGCCCAAACTAGAGCCAGTGTTAACTCAGCGACCTTCTGAAGGTCAAACATTTTGTGGCAAGTTTGGGAATGGAGTGATAACATGTGGAGAGTGAACTCCAGCTCTAAGATTTCCAAACACCGCTCTTACACAAGTCATTCCCGGGCAGCTGCTGCGGTCGGTTACTACTTACTATCTGGGTGTCGGATGTGACCTTCTGCTGCAGGACTCTCAGATAGGCTTCCGTCCTGTCGTCCACTTCAATCCTAGATGGGAATGCGGGGGCCGATTGAGAAAAGAATGACAGGGCATCGCCGTTTCTAACCCCACACAGCAGCCCTGCCCGTCCCCACCCCAGTCACTCACAAGCGTCTGCACCCACAGGACATGGGCCCGTATCTGTCTTTTCACTAAGATCACCCAGGATGTTTCTAACACTTTCGTGCCCTGGGAGCCCCCTGCCCTCCCATGTCTCCTGATCCCCCTCAGAGGGGGAGCGGCCCAATGCGCCTACATTATCGCCTTCTTCATCTGGATGCCCATGGCGGGCGTGACCTTGAACAGGTTCTGTATCAGGGAGTTGGCCGCCTCATAGTTCCTGCGCGTGTAGATCAGCAGCCAGTTATCCAGGGGCTTCACGCTGATCAGGGGTGCGCCACGTGTCTCCTTGGACCAGTCTGCAAACTGTGGGTTGTACTCGAACTAGGAGTGAGAGACACTGAGTCCATGTGAGCTCCGGGGTCGAGCCTCTGTCACCAGGAACCCAGCTGTTCTGATCCCTCTGCAGCCGCTTACATGTGGGCAGCAGGGAAGGCCTGGGGATCTCAGTGGGGAAAGATGTGCAAGTGTCCCTGAGGGACAGAAGCAGCAGCATTTAAGATACGTTCACATTAACCACCGCCTCTCGTGCTCCAGCTGCCGTCTCTGCTACCTTTCCTAGCACCTCAGGAGGACGAGTGTCGCTCCCCTCACAATAAAGACAGAGGCTCGGCTTTGAAGGCGAGCGCCTGCCTGGGGTCAGATACAGGAAGCAGGCTGTGGCCTGGACGGCAAGGCGCACGCCGGCACAGACAGCACCGTAACCGGCGGCAGGGCTCGGAGGGCCAGCACTGTGTCCTGCCTCCTGCTCGGGGAACAGACACAGCTTCAGTCAGAACGGAGCTCACGGGCCCCTGTGCTGCCTCGTCACACGCGGAGGGAGGGAGGGAAGGGCCCGGCTCCCTCCTGGAGAGGCACCAGCCTCTGCACACGTCTCCCCACAGCGGGTCCGGAGGAAGGAGCCAAGCTACTGGAGCCCCCAGTAACCCTCCCTCAGTGGTGACTCAGCATCGGCCCAGGAGACACTTATTACCCTCCCACCACAGGGGACCCAGGTTATTAACACAGCGCAAGGTGCTCTTTGTGGGACTGAGGGCCACGCTCAGCTCCTGCTCTCTGAGCGTCCACACAGCTGCGGCCTCTGCTCGGGTGTTGGCAGGCGGAGGAAGGTGAGGACAGGAAGCCCCCGCCCGACTTGGGGACCCAGCGAGGGGCCTCACCGTCTTCCCGCCCTGGTGGATCTTCTCGGCCTGCAGGACCCTCCCCGAGAAGGACAGCAGGTTGGAGTCGAAGCTCAAGCCCCAGTCCCGGAGCTCCCTCTGCACATTGTCATCTCTGCCAAGGGAATGCTCACACATCAGCAGGCGGCAGGAGGCCGCAAGGCAGACGCACAGACACCCGTCCCCCGCCTCGGCCGTCCCTCGGCCGTCCCTGGGTCTGCTCTCCGCGCCCACACGCCCTTCCCCAGACCCGTCCCAAACCGCTGAGGCCCAGACTCTCTCCCTCCAGGTAAACCAGCCCCTGATGTTCCACAGAGAACAGGACTGTCCAACCCCCACTTGTGTTGGCACCTGTTCCCCCCGGAGGAACCAGAAGGGCCCCACGTCTCTCATTCCCTCGCTTAGAAACATGGCCCCGCACCGCGCGGGGGCTCACTTGTGGATGTAGTCGATGAGCCGCCCCACCTCGCGCTGCCTCTGCTCCGGGGTGAGCCTCGTGTGCACAGCCAGGTCCTTCATCACGTTAAAATCGTTACGCATCTTATCAGTGAGACCTTTAAGTGAGACGTGGAAAAGGTGTGTGCTTAGAGAGACGGGAGTCACGGCTCCATATCTGGAGTGTGAGATGGTGACAAGTGACAGCATTTTGAGGGGACAGCCGCTTTCGGGGTTTCCTGGGACAGGTGGAGGAGTGACACAGAGCTCTGGCTGCTGTCACCAGACGGGGAGGGGCCCCACGGTTCCTTCCCGGTGACCGAGCGCACACACCTGTGAGGTAGCAGAGCTCGGGGATGAGCATGGCCGGGCCAGGCAGGACGCCGCCCGGGCCCCGCCTCCTCTTGGGCTGACTGACCAGCACCGGCTGCTTCAGGTCCGTGATCTCCTGGTTGTATTGCTGTCGGGAGAGAAAGGGTCACGACACAGGAGGCGGCTTCCCTGACGCGGCAGACTCAGGGCTGTCTAAAGAGTGGATGCAGCAGCCGGGTGCCGGGAGGCCGTCTCCTCAGGAATCATCTGGGCTGAGCTCTAAGCCCAAGAGCCAGAGCCCAGCACAGAGCGTCCGACAGGGGGCCCAGGATGGACAGACGGCCGGGAGTGACAGACAAGGACCAGCAGGCAGGCCGCCTCAGCACGCAGGGGCCACGTGCGTCAACAAGACAGAGGAGTAGCGGGAAGGCACTTAGTCCCTTCAGCTGGAAGAAAAGCTTGAACGTGGGTCAGAAGGCAGGAGAAAGGGAAACTGAGGCAGCTGAGGGAGGGGAAAGGGCCCGTGGGCGGGGGGGGCAAAGCCCTCGGGCAGCAGGCGTCTGAGACCAAGCGCTCAGCCCAAGGCAGCCAAGCGGACAGGTGCAGCCCGAGCGACTGCCCCTCAGCACAAACGCCGGTTTGCGCTCCAGGGTAGGTGTTTTCCTTCTGGTCAGGAATTGGTTTTTCGCACTGTGTTTGCCTCTGATGTTTCTTCAGTTTAGTGATTACGGTGCCAGAGGCTGGCGTCGTCTTCACAGGACAGGAGTCGGGTCGGCCAGTGCCCAAGGTGCCTGCGCCGGGCAGCCGACGCTCCGTGCATGCCGCCAGGCCAGAGCCGACCCAGACGCGCAGAGCACGGTGGGGGCGAGGGCTCAGACCCTAGCCCACCCCCGGGAGAGGTTAAAGAACACCGAGGACAGAACAAGGGGCAGTATGGCCAGCAGTCCACCCGCAGGGTTCACCCCCCACCTGCCGGCCCGCCAGACGCTCAGGTTCAAATGCGGCCCTCGGTACTGCTGCAGGGAACCTGGACGGCCCGTCTCGCCCAGCGTGGCCTGGGGGCCCGCCTCACAAACACGCCTCACGGCGACTGCCCCAGACGCGCCGAGAGAACTCCCCCGAGGCCGCTGGGGCCGCCCCGGGCCCAGGCCGCGCCGCACCTTCCTGTAGTACTCCAGGAAGCTCACTTCCGAGCCGTC